GGATCTTGGCAGGCAATTCTCTAGTTGTGCACAAAAAGATGAACAGGCAGTGAAAAAATTCATCATCGGGCTAGTTTCTGATACATATCAGAAATATTTCTGTGTAGAGAGGTTGTGGGGTCTCCATCCTTGGAGATACTTCAGAAAAAGGGATGTATTCCTGTACTCCATGGTCTCCAGAGATCCCTGCCARYATYGRCTGCTCTGTAGTTCTGTGATACACCAGTAGATATGGAAGATGAATGTCTATGCTATGTTTTTAGTGTGTGTTAGAAAGTGCTGGACAATCCATTTTCCTGTGACAGAAAGCATAAAATTAAGAGGTGTGAAACATCCATAGTTTTATTTCTGTGAGCAAGGTGAAATGGCAAAGGCCGAGTTCATAGAGCAGCTGCCGTCAGTGCGGGCCGTCCCTAAAGCAGTGATGCAAGGCTGGTTGTGGTGTGTAACTCACCTGCACATGGGAAGGTTATGTTAGTGTCATTATCCAACGGATGTATATTGCACAATAATGTACATATCCTGCCAAGATTTATGCAGATATAGAATGAAAGTGTCTTGTATTTGACAAGAGCAATTATAAATTAAAAAAATAGGAAAAATATACAGAGCTTAACAGTTCTCTGTTTATTTTGATGACACTCAAGCAATGATTCTGACTTGTCCTAGTCATGCTGAAAATTAGTTTCTCATTAATTTAAAATTAATTAGTTCAGTTAAACAGAAAGGGCGTTGGTCAGAAATTCCTGATTTCTCATGTGTAAGTTCACTGTATGAAATTCTCACTGATAAAAATGCCTGAATGATTCAGTAAAAYAAGGCTGAGCTAGCCAGGGCTAATACAGGTATTTGGTCCAACACTCAGTTATTTAGACAGTACCTCTTACCCAGAATTATGATTGAGAAAGAGTGGTCAAGCATTGGAACAGGCTGCCCRGGGCAGTGGTGGAGTCACCGTCCCTGGCAGTGTTCAAGAAACRTGTAAATGAGGCACTTAGGGACATGGTTTAACAGGTGTGGTCGCTATGGGCTTGCTGTTGAACTTGACCTCAAAGGTCTTTTCCAGCCATAAGGATTATGTGATTCTATGATTTAGGGATTTAGGGTCTGAATATGTCTGATGTTGAAAGCATGTCTTGCAGGATTCCATTTTTAAGGAAAACAGGTAAATAAATCACTGCTAAATCAGTGTCAGTGATTGAGCTTGCATGTGGGGACCCATCTCATATGACTTCAGGTAGCTTAGAGAGGGATACCTGGTCTGCACAGAACCTCTGGATCCTCCATCTAGTCCTTGAAGAGAGAGCAGCATGAACTGAGGGTGACACAGGTGGGGTGAGTACATGTCCAGGAGTGGTGGTTTGATCATGCTCAGGTGCTGCTCTCCYCATGAACAAATGGTACAAATTGCTACTTTAGATGATGGGAATGTCCTGGTTAAGATTTTGAAGGTCCATGTATGAGCCGAGTGTCAGAGCTCATATCTCAAACAGTGGAGCTTTAGGTCAGAGCTCAGCTGCCTAAACACCAGGAATGCCCCAGGGAACCCAAGACATCCACACATGCCTGGCTGGTGTAACACAACTGATGCAGACCTGCACCCTACGGAGCCAAGCAGGGTCATCTTGGATAGCCTGGGCCAGCTTCATTTGGACAACAGACTCACAACCAGTGAAGTCTAGAGCACTATTCAGYTAAAGCTCAGCTGCGTTCAGTCCCAGCTTGTCCACCTCTCCACTACCTACACCGGCTGTGGAGGCACCTCTACAAGGCTAGTTTATATAGATGTCTGAATCTGCACTTGGATCTCCAAAGGGTTTGATTTAGCTGCCACCATGTAGTGGCATGGAGGATACCTCTTTCCAAACCATCTCTAGGAGACTTAAAGATCTACGAAGGTACCAGAGAGAAACCCGTATCTGTCAGCAGTGTCAGCCTCAAAGAATAGCCTAGAGCATCTCTAATGTTGTCTACCTTGACTTCAGCAAGGCTTTTGACACCGTCTCCCATAATATCCTCATACGGAAGCT